GAACACAGTGTCTTCTCAACATGATGTAAACACACTAACTAGTCTCTACACACACTAAAATAATTTCTCTACAGAACTCAACATTGTGTTCTCAAAATAATTAATGCCACTACAACTACAGTAGCCCACTAAAAACAACAACACAAGTTTAAGAAATGACAGAGGCAATGCTACCCCTCTTATCCCCTAAAAAAAGTGCACCTGGTAGAAGACAAGAGACTATAAGAGTCAACCTATTTTCTCAAATTAAAGTTCATACTTTAAATATGTTTTTTAATATGCCTCTGTAACAGGCACACTGCCATCTTTGCAAATGTACTAAAATCGTTCATAACTTATTTGGTTCACTCTGTGTGACTTCTTTAGAACAAAGTCATCGTTAGTCATGAAATTTGTGTTTGAATATGCTACATTAAATTTTCTAAATCAAAATTAGAACTTAGAACTTGAACCTGGATAAGGGCATGAATTGCAAGCTTTCACATTAACATTACCTATCACATCAACATGTCACACACTGGTGACAATCCAACAGATAATTTGAGCTAATCCAAATCTAAATTGATTACTGCCATTATATTTTTCTTTGTGTTTTTTTTATAAGAATATATTGACAGACTATCTCTATCATGTGTGGAGAGAGTTGTTGCAGAGCAGCATCAGGAATTAGTTATGAACCACATTACTAAGCCAATTATCAAAGGTTAATGCCATGTGGGTAGTAGTTGTTTATTAGAGGCACGAAATGCAGAGCCTCATTAAAATGTATTTGAAATTAAAATAACAGCTGATAAATTTAAATATTGTTTACTCAGTTTACCAAATAACGTGCATAACTCAGATGTATATAAATTAAAAATTAATTTTTTATAATTTTCTTTCATACATGGTAGCCCAGATAAGGTGCAATCACTGTGGGCGACAGCATTAAGGGTGTTCTCAGTACGAAAATGACCAATGAGAATGAAAACGTTAAAAGATGCCACAATTTTTCTCCATCCAAAATGCAGCCAGCCAAAAAAGGTTTGAGAGAGGCTAAATGAAAGTTGCTTCCCAACTTGGGCTATGAGCTTCTCTACCCTTCCTCCAGACTCTAGGACCTTGGTTTCCAAATGAAATACAAAACTTGATCTCATCTGAAAAGCGGACTTTGGACCACTGGGCGACAGTCCATTTCTTCTTCTCCTTAGCCCAGGTAAGATGCCTCTGACGTTGTCTGTGGTTCAGGAGTGGCTTAACAAGAGGAATACGACAACTGTAGGCAAATTCCTTGACACGTCTGTGTGTGGTGGCTCTTGATGCCTTGACCCCAGCCTCAGTCCATTCCTTGTGAAGTTCACTCAAATTCTTGAATCGATTTTGCTTGACAATCCTCATAAGGCTGCGGGGTTCTCGGTTGGTTGTGCATTTTTTTCTTCCACACATTTTCCTTCCACTCAACTCTCTGTTAACATGCTTGGATACGGCACTCTGTGAACAACAGCCAGCTTCTTTGGCAATGAATGTTTGTGGCGTACCCGCCTTGTGAAAGGTGTCAATGATTGTCTTCTGGACAACTGTCAGAACAGCAGTCTTCCCCATGATTGTGTAGCCTAGTGAACCAAACTGAGAGACCATTTTGAAGGCTCAGGAGACCTTTTCAGGTGTTTTAAGTTGATTAGCTGATTGGCATGTCACCATATTCTAATTTGTTGAGATAGTGAATTGGTGGGTTTTTGTTAAATGTGAGCCAAAATCACAGTTAAAAGAACCAAAGATTTAAACTACTTCAGACTGTGTGCATTTAATTTATTTAATACACGAGTTTCACAATTTGAGTTGAATTACTGAAATAAATTAACTTTTCCACGACATTCTAATTTATTGAGATGCACCTGTATATCCAATCATTTTCAAAGTAACTAATCTTGCCAATTAGCTTTCAGCTTCAGTTTAGTGAGTCATTAAACCTGCTAGTGGTTACACTAAACAAAAACAAACCAAATCCATATAACCATAAGTTCTCAATCTAAAACATGATAAAAATACAAACTTAGGCTGTATTCAGATACAATTTTATTCTCCTACTCAAATGCTAGGAACTGCATGGTCAAGTTAGTTTTTTATAGGCAGCATACGCGGTTATCAAAAATCAATCAGATGAAGGCATCTCAGCAGACAGAATGTGACACGATCGTTGGAATTCAGAATCATTAGTATTTCAATAACAGTTTACATTAACATTATATAATGTTCATGTTTGAATGATGCATTAAGAATGATGGGAGCATTTTACAATTACCATAGATTAAATATTGTTCACTGTTATTTCATGATATCTAAAGCATAAACTAATGTTAACAAATTGAGCAATATTGTAAAGTATTATCAGCATTTCTTAAGAGTTTATCTAATTCACATTCCTTTTGACCAATGTATTTGTATTGTTCTAATAAATTTGAGTACTAAGATCAACATACCAAGCTTTAGCTAGAATGGCCTCTGTTACAACTTGCACAGTCAGGAATTGACTAACAATAGAGGCTGTGTAGTCTTTAGTCTTGGTCTAGTATAAAGGTAGGGGTGACGGCAGTCAGACAAGCAGAATCAGCTTCAGCTTCTACCCTGTGGAACTATTGAGAATCAACCAGAGCAACCATGAAGGTAAACCTCATTCCAGCACCCATTTCCACAAATTTTAACTTCAAAATGTTTGATCTGGTATCTCTCACTTTAAGTCACTAAAATATTAAATTTGAATTTTCAGGTCACTTTCTTTGAGGACAGGAACTTCCAGGGTCGCTCTTATGACTGTATGGGCGACTGTGGTGACTTCTCCTCCTACATGAGCCGCTGTCACTCTTGTAGAGTGGAGAGTAAATAAAATAAATAATGGTGCAACAGTTTTTGTGGGGAAAAAAGGGAAAATGACCATAGATTCTGTGATTGGAATATTTGCTCATACAATACCATGTAAAGATTACTTCACAGGCACATGCAGAGTCACAACAATTCCCACATAAATAGCATGTAACATCTAATCACATATTACATAACCTTCACATATTACATAACCTTTTCTTTTTACAAACACAAAAGTGCCCCACAGTTTTCTAATCATTCTGGACTGTTGTTATAACACACAATATTGTACAGTCAGTCAAACAAGAAATTGTAGAATTCCTTTTGTAGTCATGCTTCACTTGGAAAGGGAAATCAGAAAGGAGATACTTATATACACTGATCAGCCACAACATTAAAAACTACTGACAGGTAAAGTGAATAACATTGATTATACAATGGCACCTGTCAAGGGGTGGGATATTTTAGGCAGAAAGTGGAAAGTCACTTCTTGAATTTCATGTGTTGGAAGCAGGAAAAATGGGCAACTGAAAAGATCTGAGTGAAGATCCGAGTGACAAGGGCCAAATAGTGATGGCTAGACGACTTGTGGGGTGTTCCCATTATGCAGTAACTAGTACCTACCAAACGTGGTGCAAGAAAGGACAACCGGTAAACTGGCATCCGGGGTCATAGGCGCCCAAGGATAAGTGATGTGTGTAAAGAGTGAAGACGAGCCCATCAGGTCTGACAACACAAAAGAGCTACTGTAGCTCAAACTCCTGAAAAACGTAATATGCTGGCCATGATAGAAAGGTGTCACACAGTGCATCGGAGTTAGTTGCCAATGGGACTGCATAGCAGCAGATGGTCAGAGTGCCCATGATGAACCCTGTCCACTGCCAAAGGCACCTACAATGGGTACATGAACATCACAGCTAGCATGGAGCAATGGAAGAAGGTTGCCTGGTCTAATGAATCACATTTTCATTTAGATCAGGCATGTGTGTGTTGTTTACCTGGGGAAGAAATGGCATGTATGTGGGAGGTCAAGGTCAGGTAGGCCAATGGAGGCAGTGTTATGCTTTGGACAATGTTCTGCTGGGAAACCTTGGGTCCTGGCATTCATATGGATGTTACTTTGACACATACCACCTACCTAAAGATTGTTGCAGACAATGTACATCCCTTCATGGAAATGGTGTTTCCTGATGGCAGTGGCTTCTTTCAGAAGGATAATGTACCCTGCTACACTGCAAAAAAATTGTTCAGGAATTATTTGGCCTGAAAATCCCACATATATTAATCCGATTGAGCATCTATGGGATGTGCTGGACCAACATATCCAATCCATTGAAGCCCTACCTCGTAACTTGCAGGACTTAAAGAGCAGGTCATATGGTATTTTAAAGTGTCCTAATATTGTGTTGGAGTCCCCTACAACAGGTTTAAATGCATCTAAGGTCAGAAAACATTGTAATTTTCTCAGAATATACATTTAATATTAGAGTCATTTGCCAATGATTTCGAAACGATTCGTTCCAAGCAAGTTCGGAGCAAACCCCTCCCTTCCATAAGCCTACTCTGCTCTGATTGGTCAGCTGGTCAAGCCTGTTGTGATTGACACAGAGAGGAGTCCTTGAGCAAGTTAGCAAAACGATTGACAAAGCACCTTTACATAAAACAATAATATAGTGCTCCAATCCGTTCTTATAATAATGTCATGAAATACAAAAACACTTATGCAAGCGAATCGTGCCCACACCTAAAGTTTAGCTGCTAAACTGTGAACACAAAACAATATTGGTGGATACGTTAGCCGAGTCCTGATGAAACAATACAGTTTGTAAACCAAAATATGTCTACTGTAATGTTTGAAGAATGACAGACAAAAGACGCTCTGTCTTAACTTTTAATCAGAATGCAGAACAGCTGTATCACATGTGCAGCAGCCTAACTAACTCGCTCGTCTCTCCCGCATTAACCCTATAACTGCCGGTGCAGCAAAATAAACAGCAATTTCACAATGATTATAAAGTCTGTGTGCTACACTACATTCTTTATTATTAAATGAAGTAATTATTAGAACGTCAGTCTACATTAATCGACAAATTCTTAGGAAATAGTGGGTTCACAGCGAATTATCAGAACTACTTCAATATCGTGCTTTACCTGGAAACCTAAAGCTGCACTAGGTGTACATCACATATTAGCACAAAAACTTGATATTTTGAGCACTCAATTGAAAATGTACACATACCGTATCAATCGTACTTACAGGTTGTGGTTCGGAGAGCTTGTTAGTCCAAATTAAGAGGATTAGAAGCCAACAAAGATAAAAACCAAGATTAGAGAAGCAGTCCTTGGTAAAATTACATGCACACAACAAAAGGTTCTAATTGTATTTCTGTGGTATACTTGAACACAGTGTCTTCTCAACATGATGTAAACACACTAACTAGTCTAGCGGAAGCGTTTGTGGGCAGGTCAGACTCTGTTCGTATTCCGTGGGTAGGTGGGGATTATGCAAATGTGTTACCCAGTGACATATACCGGTAACAGGCAAAATATTTGAAAATATGACGACTTGTTAAGGCGATTCAGAATCGACTCTCTTTTGAGAGACAATATCTTTATGTATCATGCACTTTTATGATTAACAACTTTGCAGATTGTTTTCGTTTAAGGATAGCTACGTTATAACCGGCAAAATAGATATTTTTCAAAAGCCCATATGACCTGCACTGTAAAGAATATATTGGTAATGTCTTGGTGTCAGATACCACAAGAGACATCCAGAAGTCTCGTGGAGTCCATGCCTTGATGCATCAGAACTGTTCTGGAAGCATGAGGGGGACCTACATGATATTAGGTTGCTGATTTTAATGTTGAGGCTGATCAGTGTACAAACTAACAACAGTTATTGAAAAACTGAAATAAAATAATAATTATCAAAAAATACATAATTGCCTTCATAATCATTATATTCTCACCCCTGTGGTGGAAAAATACGAGCTGTGTGGCAGTTTAGGGAAAAACCTGTATTTGGTGCATCATGCACGTGAGGTTTTCTGACAGAGAGATGCAAAGCAGTTTAAAGGGGTCATATGATGTTGCTAAAAAGAACATCATTTTGTGTATTTGGTGTAATGAAATGTGTTTATGCGGTTTAAAGTAAAAAAAAACACATTACTTTCCACATACTGTACATTATTGTTTCTCCTCTATGCCCCGCCTTTTTGAAACGCGTTGATTTTTACAAAGCTCATCAGTCTGAAAAGCGAGGTGTGCTGTGATTGGCCAGCTATCCAATGTGTTGTGATTGGCCGAATACCTCAAGCATGAGACGGAAATGTTATGCCCCTCACATACTGCTGATGCCGTGTCCCGGAGCGACGAGACATAAACATTAAAACCCATTACAAACGAGGCATTTGTTGCATCCAGTGGAGACATAATTACTGATTATAATGACTTATACTGTCTTTTTACGCATTGCACCGCGCAAACATAAAACTCTGTCTGCATTTGTGATCGGAGAAACTACAAACAACAAGTGCTACTCTACTGCCCAAAACTCGCGTTTGAATCATCAGTGGCAACGAAAACACAGCGGCCTAGAGTAAGGGGAAGCCCCGGCTTAGCGTGCGCTGAGGCCGGGATAGAGTGAGCTGAGGCAGGCTGGATTCCGCTTCGTCCATGGTGAAAGTTCATGTATTCACTCAGCGACCAGCACAGATCAGCTCTAGGCATGACGAAGCGGATATCGTACTCTTTTGAAAGACCAAACAAAGTAGTTTCGCTTTCACAACGAAGCACACAGCGTCTTCAGGACATGGCTGCAGCGTCAACAATCCTACAGCAAGACTAAAAGTTACACCCTCTTTCTTTGCGTGAACATTTGGGCGGCGTTATGTAAATCTTCACAGATCGTGACGTAGGTATGTGGGGGTGTGTTAGAATGAGCCGTTTTAGGTAGGTGTGGTTAACTCTTAACTTTTATAAAGAATATCTCTTTGGTTTTGAGACTTTAGTGTTTGCAACTTTACAGATCTTCTTTATGCACCAAGAGCTTGTAACGCTCCAAAGAGAAAGGAAAAATATAAATCACATCATATGACGCCTTTAAAGCAGAGTCCTGCACAGCACTGCAATGCACCCGCAGTAATTAACAAAACATCTGACCTGTCATTCGACAGCAGCACTAATTTAATTCTGTACCCAATTGACCCCATTGAAATAAAGACAGCGACCTGAACCACACCTGCATTAATCTACTGAATCAGGTAGACAAAAATTATTTTCTCATAAAGAAAATTATTTTCTTTGAAAAAAAGTAGACATGCAGTGCAACATGGTAATGAACAGAAATATGATGAAAAGGTGCATCCTTTGTGTAATAAAAAACTTTTGCCTACATCATGTGAACAATCTGCCCATACAGGCTATTTTGAACAAATGTGCATAAACCACATCATACACGCTTATAATTCTCCATAAATGAAAAGAACATATATGAGCCTTTACTGTTAAATGCTATTGTCTCTCCTGAAACTCTGCAGTGTAGGCCTATTTGTGGCCGTTTATAGCAGCATGTGTAAGGTCCACCCAATTGGCCCAACGACGGAATCCAATGGTGTGGGCAAAGGTATAATGCATGTAGGTATTTTACTTGCGCTTCTGCAAAGTTCACTTAATTTATCAGGGTTTAGTTTCAATTTTAGTCTAGCTCCGTGTTTAATCTGACGCCAATTTCAAGGGATCATTAAATTTAGACTGTATTTCTAATTAAGAACTGATCACAGATATCGATTATGTATTAACTTATTCCAAACATCCCATACTTTTAATTATTTGTTCACCTGGGACCCGATGTCGCATTTGAGTCTCACGTGGCCTGCGCAGATCTCACAATCACCAGTCTCGCCAGTCTGATTTTTGTCAGAGGATGTAGGTTGACTAATATCTGTTTTGCCGGCCGCCTACTGCTTGTTCTTGAAAAAAAAAAGTGTAGTTTATTTAGTAATTTCCCGTACAGCTTGCTAGAATCAGTGATAGACAGAAATCAGAAGGTATCAGATGACGTGCCTACTGCTCCATTCATACATGAACCTGTTTGACCTATCCTGGCCATAGATTTGAGGTAACATATCAGCCTCCTCATGATCTACTAGTCATAATGATTTCAGGAGAGTTCATAATAATTAAAATATAACATTTTATTTGTCAGGTATAAATGTATCAAGCCAATTACATAAACAATGAGAATCCAATTCAGAATTAAATTCAGTTCCAATTCAGATCAATTCAGACAAATATATAACATAAATTGCTCAAAGATGAGTCTAAGAGTGAGAGATGCATACCTGACAGCAGAGAGACACACAGCAGCATGTGAGAGACACAGTGTGGGGGTTTTCTGGTTATAGAATCCCCAAGTAGTGTTTTGCCACTTCGCTTATATACCCAGACCAGAAAAAAGAAATCTTCAAATAAGATGTAAAACCATAAAAGCCCTTTTGGTTTGTTAAGGATCCCGTGACCAAGAGTCACACCTGGCCAGAGATAGGAAAACATTCTCACAGACCCTGAGGGAGACGCACCTCTTAGTAGCAGAACAGAATTCTTCAAAAGTTTTCACTCTTTATCATAATATAAGTGACTGCTGTGAAATTGAGACAATTTTACCAATCGCATGGAGACCTTTACAATGATACTAAACATGAAAGGTTTAAAATCATAGAGTCTTAAGATATAGTAAATACACTATGTAAATATAGTAACTTGGGTTCTTGACACCTCTAAGTCAAATTTCCGTGACCCAGGCCATGTGCCCCGGAGGGAAGGAGGGGGCTTGAAGATGGGTGAAGGGACAGTTGAACAATAGTTTTCTTTTAGATCTTCTCAGATTAGAAAGTTTTTTGTTTTATTGCATGGCATCTGTTTTGTGAGAGTTCCTGAGGTTTAGCTTCACAAGAAGATCAAAGCGGTCTTACAGATGAAAACTAAACATTTTATCCAAATTGTAATATAGATTATATATACAGAAAGCGAGCAAAGAGTGCTCCCATTATAATAAAGCTGTCAGTAGAAATATTTGACGGTCTTCAGACTAGAGTGTGAACACAAATAAGCACAGTGCATTCTTGATTCATACACCCATGCAATCTTATTCCTAAATGACAACGATTCAGCTGTCTATCAACCCTTTGACAGAATCACACCAGCCATCAAATTAAATCTGTGCTCATGCTGCCACTGACTCAGAGAGAGAAGTTAAATGAACTGTCTTCAGTGTGTAATGCTGGTTTTAGTTTTTTTTTTTCTTGTTTAGGTTTTCTTGTCTTTTGTTTTTGTATTTTTTGTCTATGTTCCTGCCCTGTCATGTGTTTCCCTGACCCTGTCAAATGATCCTGCCATGTGGCCCTTTTGTTCATGTGTCTTGTTCTCATTGGTTCCTTTGTTGTTTATGTAATCCACTGTTTGGAGAGTTTTGTCCATGTTCAAGTTCTTATTTTGCCTAGCCAAATCAAGTCTTGTTTACTGTTTATCTGCTCACTTTTGGATTTATTAAAACTGCACTTGGGTTCTTTAAACTTGCCATCAGAGAACATTTATTACACAGTGTTTTCAACATCATTACGCCAGTAAAAGTCAATTAATTCATTCAACCAATTCATTTAAATATACTGACTCATTCGGGAACAAATCTAGTAATTACTGAATCATTTAACCAATGAATTAAAAAATGAATTAGTTGTAATAATACTAAAGGTGGATGTAAAAACTTTCCCTGTGTTTCTATTCAAATCTACCGCTACCTTAAAAGGGTGAAAGATAAATATGGTAACAATTTATTTTAAGGACCAATTCTAGCTATTAACTAGTTCTTATTAGCATGCATATTACTAGCATATTGGCTGTTTATTAGTATTTAAAAAGCACATATTAATGCCTTATTCTGCATGACCGTATTTTAGATCCCTTAATCCACCCCGTACCTAAACTTAACAACTAAATTAATATCTATTAATAAGCAGCAAATTAGGGTTCAAATTAGAATAGAATACTCTCAAATTAAGAGTTTGTTCAGGTAAAACTCTTAGTTAATAGAGAATATGTGTTCCCTATTCTAAAGTGTTACCATAAATATTTTATGTAAACTTCTATTTATATTTTTATTTAGATATTTACATATTTTGTTTCACAAACTTCCTAATTTTTATTGGATTTTTTTATAGACTAATAAAAAAACTTTTTCTCAGAACCTCTACTAAATTTCATGTCATTTAGTTTAGTAGATATTTAGTAAGGTTCAGGTTTTGTAAATCACAGACTAAAAAAATAATAAAATAAATAAAATCAATAAAAGTGTGATTCTCAATTTGAATCAGGAGTCTCTGGTCTTTAAATTTAACAAACATTAACTAAGATCTAGATACTACGCTTTAACTAACAGCCTCTATGCCAACCTGCACAGTCAGGAATTGACTAACAATAGAGGCCCTGTAGTCTTTAGTCTTGGTCTTGTATAAAAGCACAGGTGACAGCAGTCAGACAACAAGCAGAATCAGCTTCAGCTTCTACCCTGTGGAACTACTGAGGATCAGCCAGCGCAACCATGATGGGCAAGGTAAACTTCATTCCAGCTACAATTTTCAATGTGCAATTCAAATGAAAATGGAAAAAAAAATTCACATTAAATGTTAAACTGTTAATTTTTAGGTCACCTTCTACGAGGACAGGAACTTCCAGGGTCGCTCTTATGAGTGTATGGGCGACTGTGGTGACTTCTCCTCCTACATGAGCCGCTGTCACTCTTGCAGAGTGGAGAGTGGATGCTGGATGATGTACGATAATCCCAACTACATGGGAAATCAGTATTTCTTTAGGAGGGGAGACTATTCTGACTACATGTCTATGTTTGGAATGAGCAACTGCATCAGGTCCTGCCGGATGATCCCTATGGTGAGCTCCATGAATATTTTGATATAATTGGGGGGGGAAAAATTGCCATATAATAATTTTCCTAATTTAATATTTATTACGTATTTGCAAATATAGCTTTTTCCCCCCAACCATATAGAAAAAGCAGTAAAAAAATAAAAAATAAAATCTTTAATCCACTTTTTTTTCACACTACAGCACAGGGGATCCTACAAAATGAGGATCTACGAGAGGGAGAACTTCATGGGTCAGATGCATGAGATGATGGATGACTGTGACAACTGCATGGACCGTTACCGCATGCCTCACTGCCAGTCCTGCCATGTGATGGACGGCCACTGGCTCATGTATGAGCAGCCCCAATACAGAGGCAGGATGTGGCACTTCAGGCCTGGAGAGTACAGGAGCTTCAGCAATATGGGTGGCATGAGATTCATGAGCATGAGGCGTATCATGGACTCCTGGTACTAGAGTTTATATTAATAAAACAATTTCTTTACAACTATAAACATTGTCTTGAAAATCATTAATGCAACTAATAACAAAAACAAAATCCACAAAACACTCTGCAAGTTGTCCATAGAAAGGTTTAGTTTTATTTTTAGTTCCCAAAGCTATTTCCAAACATGTATAGTGTGGACTAGACATTACTCAGGAATCACTGGCAGGAAACAATACAAATTAAAATAAAATAAGTTATTTATTTATTTATTTTTTCTTTCTATTTTCTCTAGATTAGGAAATATCGGTAACACCTTATAATAACTTAATAAAAAAAGATCATATGAACTGAAAATTTACTGACATTTGTAAGCATTTCAATTTACACTAAATAATCATATGTTAATCATTAGGTAATGTTTAGTAAGTTCATTAGTAAACATTAACAAGAACATTATCTCATATTTCTAGCTATGTGAATATATATTAACTAATGATCTGTTGAGCATTATATAATGTTTGTTAATGATTTATAAATGAAAGTTATTATAAAGTGTTACCAAAATATCTATGATTTCAGACCAAATATATTTCTAACCAACTTGCCCACCCACTTGTTGTCCTGGAAGGGAATAAAGGATTCAATGCTGATTTACAATCAAAAAATTTGAATATCAAATTTGCGTGTTGAATTTTATTAAATTACTAATTTAAGTACTTTTTAAAAAATTACAAATTAATAATAAATAAAAAAATGCATATTAAGAATTATTAACTACTGTTACTAAATTTAGCTTCAAAACATACAAGCAAATATAAAGTAATAACAAACAAAGAAACACATTAGAAGAACCAAACAAAAATGTTTTCTGTATCTGAGAGTGCTTATGTCACGATCTCCAGCTGGAGTGCCCAT